TCTGGGTTGTCCGGGATATCCAAATCTTTCTGGTATAATTCCTCTGTGTATTCTTGCCACCTCTTCTTGATGTCTTCTGCTTCTGTTAGGTCCTTACCAATTTTGTCCTTTATCATGTCCATCTTTGCACAAAATGTTCCTCTAATATCTCCAATTTTCCTGAACAGATCTCTGGTTTTTCCTTTTCTGTTATTTTCCTCTATTTCTTTGCATTGTTCATTTAAGAAGGCCCTCTTGTCTCTCCTTGCTATTCTTTGGAAGTCTGCATTCAATTTTCTGTAACTTTCCCTATCTCCCTTGCATTTTGTTTCCCTTCTCCTCTCTGCTATTTCGAAACCCTCGTTGGACAGCCACTGTGCGGCTAGGGATACCCAAATTTACCGATTTTGGTTGTGCTAATCTCCCCGTCCCCAAACTAGGAGTTCATTTTGCTGTTTCCACCAGATTGCAAACACAGGAAACGTTGCCTGCCCCCAAACCACCCAGAAACATATTTGTATTCTGTGCTTCCCCACCCACACTGTGTTTTTCTAATTTTGTGTACCCTCTTTGACCTAAATCCAATGCTTGTCTTAACTAGAGTAGTTCCCCTAATGCAAAATATTCTTGTGCCTGGCTTTTCCATGGTAGGCTCATTTTTGAGCTGTGTTAGCAGATAACAAAATGCTGAAGGAAAACTGCATTTCAGAGCACATATATTTCAGCTCATTTATCAGTTCACCAGGTCTGAACTTCTGCAGTTCAGTTCAGACCTGACGAATTTCTCCTATAATTTCTTCCTGCAGCAGCTTCAAAATAGCAAGTCAGAGATCACCAAGGTACACTAACTCAGAGAAGAGAAGGGAGAGCCGGTTTCAGTTCCTCGCTTCCTCCATGGATGACTCAGATCATTGCAACTGTTTAATATGAAAGTCAGCCTAGAAGCTGGTTTTTTGTTTTGTTTTGGTTTTTTTGGCCGATAATACTTTGATCTTTCTCCCCGTAGGAATGAAGACATTGAACTAATCCTCTCTGAAAACAGCTTTTCAAACCCGCAGATGCTGACAACTCGTTATTTAATGTATCCTGGCTGGCAAGTATCTCCTTTTGGCAAAACCTACAAGTGCAATTGCTTTTAATAAGCATGAATTCCATTAAACACTGTTATTCATTTATTCATTTAACTTCTAAATCACTTTGTTCATTAAATGCTGTGTTAGATTCCTAGAAAAATGCATTCCGTTACCTCACTCCGTTATCCATGATAATAAAATACTTTTAAAGAATTCTTCGTGTGGAGACCAGAGTTGTGTACAAGTACAGATAGAAGAATAAGATATAACAAGCAATTGTGTTAATCCCAGGTATTCCGCTTTAACATTCAGTTTGCAAAATTCAGTTCAGCATACTCGAAGCTTAAAGTGAACAACACTGTGAGAGTTTAGTGAAGAACTAGAAAGATTTGGTACTCTTGCAAACGAAAAGAAGCAAATTCAGGAAGATTTTATTACATTTAATCCACTTCCAGATCAAGGCCACAAAGTGCTCTCCACTACTATAAAAAAAGGTAAAGGTAAAGGTTCCCCTTGACAATTTTTGTCCAGTCGTGTTCGACTCTAGGGGGCGGTGCTCATCCCCGTTTCCAAGCCATAGAGCCAGCGTTTGTCCGAAGACAATCTTCCGTGGTCACATGGCCAGTGCGACTTAGACACGGAACACTGTTACCTTCCCACCGAAGTGGTCCCTATTTATCTACTCGCATTTGCATGCTGTCGAACCGCTAGGTTGGCGGGAGCTGGGACAAGCGACGGGCGCTCACTCCGTCGCGTGGATTCGATCTTACGACTGCTTGGTCTTCTGACCCTGCAGCACAGAGGCTTCTGAGGTTTAGCCCACAGCGCTACCACGTCCCTCTCCACTGCTATAGAAAAAAATTCTATTCACCTTTTGAGGTAGAACAGGCGAAGTCTAATGTATTACATCATCATCACCATCAAAACAGTGGGGTGAGATTAACCTGAATCTAACGGAGTGATCATCTCCTTCTTTTCTTTTTTTTCCCCCCCACTCCCTCTAGGTTTGATGGTAAATTTAGAGCAGGTTCAGTCTTTCCTCCCATGGTTCAGATCTGTGTGTGGTTTAACCGTCCTTTGGAAAAAACACGATTTGTGGCCAAGTGTAAAGGTAAAAAAAGCAATTCTGCAATTTTTCAAATAACGTGGAGGTTGATTTTCTTATCTCTGGACATACTTGCCGAGCAGGTATTTTCTTCCCGGGTCCCTCCTCCAACTGCTTCAGCATCCCTGGGGGGGGGAGGGGGGAGGCTTGGGGGTTTCACTTTCATTTGTTTACAGATCCTATCAAACAAAACTGCATCCTGTTTCAGGGTCAAAACATGTTCTTTAAACCACGGGAAGGGTTTCTGTTTGTCAAAAGAGAATTTGCGAGGGTTTGCCAGATGCCAGAAAGGCAGGGTTTTATATTTTTTTTTGGAGTGGCCTAATGAGCTTTCCTCCAGGACTGCATGGAAGATTCGTGGATACCTGGCCGTGTCTGGCCGTTTTCGAAGAGGGTACCCTGTTAGTCTGTGCCGGCCTATCAAGCAAAAATAAAATTGTAACAGACAAAAACACGGCGGCACCTTAGAGATTAACTGCTATATTTTAATGTGAGTTTTTGTGGACAAGTCCAGACATAAGAGCGGGTCTCAATCCACCCCTAGGAGTGGAGTGGCGCGGATTTGGAAGAGTGATGGATTAGGACTCAGGAAACCCAGGTTTGAATCCCCGCTTGGCTACAGAAACTCACGGGGGTGGGATTGGAACACGGCTTAAACATCTCATGAACCTTGAAAGCCGTAGGTTCCTACATGATGGCCCATAGCAGGTGGGCGGTTAGGAGGCTCCTGGTGAATTGATCAACCAGGCTGCCTTGAGCGCTTCACAACAGCATGAGCGAAATAGGATGTTCCTCTGGCCTGGGACATTGCAGGAAATCTAAAACTCCTCCTTCCCCGACTCACCTGGCTTGGATGAAGGCAAGCACTGATGCTGAGGGGTCCTGCTAGCCACACAGGAATCCCGCCAGGGTACAGACCCTGGCACGCCTTCTCCTCCTTTCCGGTCCTGAATCAGTAGAAGAAATTCTACAAAATAATGCAGAGGGAAGACAAATTGCTTTACATAAATGCATACATGTTCCAATACCTGGCTTTTAATGGCACTGAAGCTAGGATTATTATTATTTTCGTGGCCCCTGTGATTCACAGACGTGGGCACTTGGCCCTGAATCTAGGATTTTGTTCTGTTCTTCGACACAGACTCCCTGCTGCTCTGGCTTTAGTTGTGAATGTCTTTTTGTCCTCTCTCCGTGCTTTATAATCTTCAAAGTGTTGGGTTAACTCCTGTCATCCTTGCAACAACCCCGTCATGTAAGTCAGCATTAGCTTTATATCACAGATAGAGACACAAGGCTTAAGGAACATGATTTGCCCCCAGTGGTTTGATAGCAGAAGATAGATCTGAACCAGAGACTTGCTGGCCGTTAATCGACTCCCTTGGGATATTTTGTTGGACATTTTCTTTGTTGAGAGACAGGGAGTGGGTGCGAGAGAAGGCAAGAGAGCTGAGATTCGGTTTAACGAATAAAAAACAGACAGCACCACAAATCTTGTATAGCTTGGAAGCAACATGCCTTGGAAACATGAATGGACCCTTTTGCAACCGTTGCCTGAATATTTTGAAATCTCTCTTCAGCATCCTTAGTGGTAGAACCACTTGTGCCAAATGCATGGGCGAGCTCTGAAATCTCCAGCAGAATAGCTCTGTAGAGATGCTGTACATTCATTACTGTACTCTTTGCATTAAGTCTCTGCTTTATCCATGTGACTTTGCTCATTTATTTGGTCCTACAGGATTCCTCTTCCAAGAGGTGTGTTTTTTTTGGCGGGTGGGGGGACACCCCGTCTGTTTCTTCCCTCCTGAAAGTATGCAATATGCTAAGGGTTTGAGAAGGATTGTCCTTTTTGTAATGCTGAAGTCCTTCATTTAACTTTCATTTGCAGTGCAGTATATATCGCAGCGTGTGCAGAATTAATTCTAGGGTGAAATGTGTGTGCAGTATATATCGCAGCGTGTGCAGAATTCTAGGGTGAAATGTGTATCGCAGATTGATATTTGGGATCCTTGCAGCTTATTAAGAGCCAGGCCTAAAAGTTCAGTGTTGATTTAATCTAATATCTAGTTATTTGTATTTCTGGTGCTCCAGGATGTCAGGAATCCAGGAATCAGATTGTCATTCTGTGTATGTATGTGTGTGTTTTGCCTTTTCAGCCATGAAGTCCTCCAATAAGCCAAGCCCTTTCTCTGGAAACATATACCATATTTTTGGGAGAGTGAAGTTTGCAGGTAATTGAAAAGCCCCCTCCTCTTGATCCATCTTTCCCCCCCCTCCCTCTAAAGAAAAGGGGCACATGCTTCGGTTGCATGAAATGCCCAGGGAAGCTACCAAGTATGTGTTTATATGCATTTGACACTTACAGGTAAAGGAATAGTACGGAAAACTGAATTCTCAAAATGGGGAGGTCGGTGCAAAGAGGTCAAAGAGAGAAAGAGGTTATCTGAGTAAATGAAGTGGGCCTTCTGGCACATGTCATATACAGGGTTTGAAAGTTCCTTTCCAAATTGTGGAGTAATGACATTATTAAGGGGTTTCAGATGGCCACTTTTTGGAAATCCTGTGCCGTGGTAATGATCCTGTGTTCTGATCGGCTGCTCCCACTGGGGGTAGACTCCCTCCCACAAAAGGGGGAAGTGGTGACTCCTCGTCATGGTCTCCAAGCTTCACACTAACAAATACAGTGGTGCCTCGCTTAACGATTACCTTGTTAGATGACAAAACCACTTTACTGTAATTTGTTCCATTCAAATCACTGTTAAGTGAAATCCTTGTCAAACAAAATTTAAAAACCCACTGAAATGCACTGAAAACTGGTTCAATGCATTCCAATGGGTGAAATACCTGCTCGTTTTGCAAACAGCCTCCATAGGGCGGCTATTTTCCGGTGCCTGTAAAGCGAGGAATCTGTCCTAAAGCACAGCGGGGAGCCATTTTGCACAGCGGGGGGGGGGCATTTTAGAGCCGCCGATCAGCTGTTTTAAAATCGTCGTCTAGCGAAAAATCGGTTCCCGAAGCAGGGAACCAATCATCGTTAAGCGAATTTCCCCATAGGAACATCGTTTTGCGATCACAACAGCGATCACAAAAACTTATCCTCGTCAAGCGAGGCACCATTGTATCTGTGCCTATTATTGTTCTGAGGTGCTTCCAACTTCCTATCAATTAATGACTTCCAAAGGATTCTATCAGTAACATCTCTGCTCAGATCTTGTAAACTAAAGACCGTGGCTTCTTTCGTTGGGTTAATTCATCTTGTATTTGGTTTTCCACTCTTCCTGCTACCGTCTGCGTTTTCCAGCATTATTGAATTTTTCAGCGAGTCTTGCCTACTTGTGACATGTATAAAGGCTAATGGCCCCGTTTTAGTCATTTCCACAGCAAATGAAAGTTCACTGTTGATTTCATCTAATGTCCAGTGATTTGTCTTTCTGGCGCTCCAGGATGTCAATAAATCTCTCATCCAGCAGAACATTTTAAATGTGGCAATTTGCCCCCCCCCATCCCCGGTTTGCTTTCAAGCCCATATATAGCTCTTGGGAATGCCATAGGGTGGGTGATCTTGGCCTTGGTTTCTAGTGACACCTCCTGACAGCCCCGGGGCTGTGCTAAATGTCTCCTCACCTTCTTTTCCCCCAACAGATTCCGATCGGCTGATCAAGGTTTGCCACAACGCAGCTTCAAACACGTTAAGCCTGGTGCCTGTTCAGGAAGGGCCGACCCCGGCCCCTCCTGATTCAAGAAACGACAGCCAAGAACACGGCGGAGCTGAGGAATGCTACCTGGTGTTCGTTGGCTGCTCTCTCAAAGAAAGTGACATGAAGGACTGGTTGAGACAAACAGCGAAGCAGGTGTGTGCCCTGAACTGAGATCTCTTGGGACTCCACTTTCCTCTCTGGTTCGAAGGCTCTCTTAGTTGTGGTAACGTTTTGAGTTGATGTGGGCATGTCTGGCCATTGCTTTCCCAAGGATTAGATGTTGGAGAAGTTCCTCTTCTGTTTGGACTACAATTCCTAGAATCCATCGGCTCCATTGTCTGGGAATTCTAGGCATCCCCCTCCAAAAAATAAAGGAAGTTTTTGCCAGCTCTGACCAGACTTTACCTCAGGGAGACACTTCCCTTGGTTCCCTCATAGTATCTCAGAGTTGGAAGAGACCATAGGGGCCATCGAGTCCAACCCCCTCCTTGAATGTTTTTCACAGACGTCAAGGCATAGGTTTCTGGCTAGAGATGGGCACGAAGCGGCGGTTCGGCTTGGTTCGTTTCCCACCCAAACTGCTGAGCCAGCGATTCGTGCCTATCTCTGTCCCTGGCTTCTTCCTGGGCTCCAGAAAGTTCAGCAATGCCAGTCTGAATGGGTACCTTAGGTCCCAGAAAGTTGCAGCTAAGTATTGTCTGTGAGGAGAAGGTTGAACATCATGGACCCTATCAGAAATGTTCATGTGTAGGTAAATTCACAAGCTGAGTTCCAAATGCAGGAGTTTTCAGTGGTTATATGGGACTCCTCTTATCATTAAAAAAAAACTAAAGCATATTCATGGAACTTCAACACTTCCATGGGAGGATTACACAGACATTACTCTTTAAACATATAAAATACTTCAGTATACATGATGGAACAGAGGTTTGCAAATACCGTAATCACGCAACCAAAAGGCATCACACAAATACTTGATCCTTATGGTTGCTTAGTTCTTGGTGCTGTAAACATCTCTTCTACCACATACCTTGCTTTAAATGACATTGTGGAGGGGGGGGCGGTTTGGATCAAAGCCCAGCCATTCCTCCTCTCTCCCTTTCCTTGGTGGATCTTCCCCGTCTAAGCCATCCTCTGCATTTTCCCGAAATAAATATATGGCTGCCTATCAACCCAGTTTGCCCATAAAGGATAAAGTTGCTTTAGAAGCATGACAACTGAAAAGCATTTGAAAATTCATAAACAGCCTTTGTGACAACGCCACAGTCGAGCAGATGTGATTCAGATAATGAGGGTTTGTCAGTTCTTGCTGCATGAAAATGAATATCTGGAACCGTAATCAAGTTAAAAGCTTCACTGCTGTACCCCTGATGTATGTCAGGTCCTTGGGGAGCGGGTGCTTCAAATAGGTGCTTCAGTAGGAGCCATTGTTTAAAATAACTGTTTAAAACTTCATCCTCCATTTGATTTGAAGTATACTGTATTAAATAAATCGGTTTATATAAGTCCAAGCCTATGAGAGCACCAGGGTCTGGCCTGCCGGTCCTGGATTCAAATCACTGTTCAGTCATATAGGCCCTGGAAGCTACCTTCTTAATTTCATTTTCCCCATCAGTTAAAATGAGAGCAGAAACAAGCTTTCTGCATAGCCCACAATTGCGTCTGAAAGCACATTTGTGTTGGAGAGAAGCAGCTGAGGCAGATCTTGGGGTCTGCAAAGCCAGACGTCAAAGGAAGCCCGGGTTGACTTCCTGAAGAGCAGTCAACACACAAATCAAGCAAGGTTGTTTGTTCACTTCTGGAACTGAGAGACTTTCCCGTTGACACACTCAAATGCTTTCATTAATTAAGGATCATCCTTTTCTAATCTGGGCTAAGGATGGCATGTGCTTTTGTTCTGCAACAAGTCTATCATGAACACGTTGTCCCTTGAGGCTTCTGCCCCACACTTTAAGAACCACTGACTTCTAGTGGCAATGAAAGTCTCAATTCTTTGAAATACGATTTTGTCTGAACCTGTTCCAAGAAACTGGGGCGAAGGGCAGAAGTTCTCCCCAAAAAAGAAACAGGAGATCGGTAGCCAGGACAGGTTAATCAAATTTTCCAGAGACCCAGATTGTTCTCACGGGGATCGGGTGGAGCTGTTAGGTCTGCAGATAGAAGGGAAATGTAATTATCTTAAATCATAGCAAACAAATGCATATGCTATTCCAAATATTGAAAGCTTTTATAAATATGAATAGACGTAATTCAGTCTCTCTTCTCTTTAATTTGCAGTGTTCCCAATAGATTGTACGCACATATCATATCCTCAACCTTATTTTTCCAAAACATAGCAAAGCTTGATAATTTCCCAGTGCAACTTATTCCTTTATCTACTTCTACTTAGACTAAGTTTGCAAATTTTAACATGTAAACTCTTCCCGCACCTGCTGTTCTCCCAAAGGTTCCGGGGCATTTTTCTGTTTCCATCTGTAACAGATTGCTGATTGGCCCACATTTAGTATTCAGTCATTTTCATATCAGCTCGGAGGATCTCTTCCATTAATGCTACCAAATAAAATTGGAGAGATAATTATAAATTGTATGCCATTATTTCAACTTCCATCCCCTTCGTGGTCTATTCTAAGCATGCCGTCTTGTCGGTGCTCAAGGCAATGAACTGATTCTGCTTCTAATACTTCTCCTAACTCCACTTCTTGTTGTAATTGGGATTCTTCCGTGTTTTCCATCCTGATGCAGAAACCGCAGAGAAAAGCGCTGAAAACCCGGGGCATGCTGACCTTGCAAGAAATTAAAAACATTCACGTGAGTCTTGCACACCTGTCTAAGATGTCTTCTTCTCTCCCTGCCTGTGGGTAGGGGTGTCACATCATGGGCTGTGATCCCGAAATCATTGAGCAGGGCTGAGCAGTGAAGGGGGCATTAATGGTTGCCAGGCAGCCCCCTCCAGTCTCTAGATGTCTTATAATCACTGGCGTCCTCTTAGAACTGTAGAGCTGGAAAGGATCCAATGGATCACCTTGGCAGCCAGATGCCTAAAACCCTGATCTATCCAGTTGGGTTGCTACTCCTGATAGAGTTAGACAGCATGGCTAGCAGATGATTGGACAGTCAGAAATATAGGTGGGATGTGGTGGCGCTAAAACCCTGATCTATCCAGTTGGGTTGCCACTCCTGATAGACAGCATGGCTAGCAGATGGTTGGACAGTCAGAAATACAGGTGGGACGTGGTGGCGCTGTGGGTTAAACCGCAGAAGCCTCTGTGCTGTAAGGTCTGTAGATCTTCAGCTGTAAGATTGAATCCACGTGACGGAGTGAGCGCCCGTCGCTTGTCCCAGCTCCGGCCAACCTAGCGGTTCGAAAGCATGCAAATACGAGTAGATAAATAGGGATCACCTCGGTGGGAAGGTAACAGCGTTCCGTGTCTAAATCACACTGGCCATGTGACCATGGAAGATTGTCTTCGGACAAAACGCTGGCTCTATGGCTTGGAAACGGGGATGAGCACCGCCCCCTAGAGGCGAACATGACTGGACAAAAATTGTCAAGGGGAACCTTTACCTTTACACATGCAATGAGGTCTCGCCCATACTGTGAGATCTACAGCAGAAGTCCCATCACCCTAGGAGGCTCGGTTGGTGAGGACAGGCGAGACAGGGCAGTCGCTGTGCTGCCACCTTGATTGTGGACCACTCTCCTTCCCAAGGCTCCTTGGCTCCTGGCTTCACCCTTACTGAGCTTACAGAGGGCAGCAAGAACTGCGTGATTCCAGCCATCCTTTGGTTTTAAAGACTTGCTTTTAAAAATGGATCTTTGACTCTCTTAGGTTTAGGAAGATTTGAGTCTGAATCCAATTGAAAATCAGGGAAGAGGGGGTTTGGATCCGGCTTGACGTGTCCTGAGACTTGCACGAGTTGACCCCGTGTCCTCTCTTGGTCTCTTAGGACTGTGGAACCTAAGCAAGAGTTTCACCTTAGACCTTAATGCAAACCTTGCAGCACTGAATAAGTGCTTCTTGCCGAGAGAATTTTCCAGAATGTGGGTGGATCTCTCCATACCACCCATATGATCGGAAGTTCTCTTTTTTTCCCCCCACGGTCTTAATGCTTTTGTCCTTTGGAGGGCTTTCACCGCTTTAAAAAAAGAGGCTGTGCGGTGAGGAGGAAGTTATGGGTGAACAGAAACAATAGCGTAGCAAATGAAGCGGTCTTAAAATAACCCCGCAGAGGATTTCCTTCACCGAGCACTGTTGCTTCGCTGCCTGTGGTTTTTCTAGGCAAAGACCGGCCCCGTCAGCAGTTCTGATGCAGGCTCCCGAAACAGGAATGCATATTACAGGTACTTCAAGCAGGGAGCAATGCTGAGAAATATATTTTCCTTTCCATCCAGGTGAAACGCCACTTGGACCCCCTTCCCGCCGGCTACTTCTACAACGGGACACAGTTTGTGAATTTCTTTGGAGACAAAATGGATTATCACCCATGTATCCTACCTTTTAATGTGGGCAACTGCCCCTTGAGGATGCCCCAGTACGTGTCGTGGGTCTTCTCTGTCTGGTTGGGTCTACACTCTTGGCAGGCAGGCAGGCATGGGACAGAAAGCTACCCCTTCCTATAAAAAAGCCCCTGTGTTGCACGTTATGACTTCCTCCGTGCTGTTTGCCTTTCACTAGCCACAGGTAGGGACTGTAAGTGGGGCCCTCCTTACATAGGCTTTGAGAGGGAATGATGATATTCGGGGCAAGGGCATGGACAGTGGGGGGCAGTCCTGTTCTCCATGGACCCCACAGCTGTTCCCTTCCGTCACACAACTGGCCCAGGGTCCTCTAAATTAGCCTGTAGCTTCCGTGTAGAAGTGGAGCGCCAGTTCATGTGGCTTCTGTAGGTGGAATGACCAGAATATCTTAGGCTGGCCCTGCTTTGGGGCAGGGGGATCAGATAACTTTTAGATCAAATACAGAATGAGCGACTGGCCGGAATCAGCATAAATTTCTGCTGTGAATTGTCTCAAGTCAAGAAGTGGGTGCAGATAGTTCATGTGACTCAGCACATGGCAGCAAATGCCCCTGCTCACCGTGGCAATTTCATCTGAAATTTATACTAACGGAGGTAGACCCGTGCTTGGAGTTTCCGGTGGAGTGGAACCACTAGTCGACATTAGAGAGGGAAAATGCCTTTATATGCTAGGCCACATCTGGTCCAAAGTTGCATGTTCTGCCTGGCAGCAGCATTCCAGGCTCTCAGGCAGAGAACTAGTCTTTGCTCCATCATATGCCCCGTGGTTCTTTTCATGGGAGAGGCAGGACATTGAACTGGCTGCTTCTACAACCAAAGAATGTGGATCTGAAATTGTGGCTTGACATAGTCTTGCGGAGATGCTGTTTCTGTCACTGAGCGATGTGTAAGAGAAATTTCTAGTGGCATGGGTCTGGGTTTATTTGTATGTTCAGCATCGGGTGCACCCTTTGCCCATATTTTAGACGTTTCCTGAAGCTGCCCTGGTTTTAGGAACCACCTTATCTTAGGGCCTCTTCCACAATGTAGAAGCATTTATTTTCCTTATTAGTTTTACATTAGTAATGGACCAGTTCATGAATGACTACCTGGAAGAGGCGAACCGAGAGATTGAAAAGTACAACAGAGAACTGGAGGAGCAAGAGTACCATGACCTATTTGAGCAGAAGACCTAAGGAAAGCACCCTTCGGCAGAATTAAAAAGTTAAAAATTTTAAATGGCAGTAACCAAGAATGACTTACTATCTTTCCTGGCTAACAAGGGTGTGGAAAAATGAAATCGTGTCTTTCAGATAGCCATTTCGTATTAAGTCACCATTCATTTAAGCTTTGCATCTCTTGAAAACATTCTCATAATGATCATAGCATTTCAGTAGCAGTGCGTTTCCACATTAACGTTGCGTTGATTGACCTAGAATTCTTCTGCATCTAATGGAAATACGTGGGATTTCTTGTTGTAATGATTTACAAAGGCGTGTTTCTTAGGTTGTAAATCTGGTTCTAAGAACGATCATTTTGGCTGTCCCAAGGTTACCCTTATGTTCAGTTTTAGCAAGGGGGGAAATATTGAGTACTGTTGTGTTCTTACGTGTCAGCGTGCAACCCCGGTGTTCCTAAGCGAGAAATGGGAAACTCTTCATTACTACTCCAGACCAACGTGGTGGTTTTGGAAGATGTTCCTAAAGCGAGAAATGGGGGAACACGTTTTGCTCTTGAAGCCTTCTCCAGACCAACATGGTGGTTTTGGAAGGTGTTCCCGAAGCGAGAAATGGGGGAACACATTTTGGTCTCGAAGCCTTCTCCAGACCAACATGGTGGTTTTGGAAGGTGTTCCTAAAGCGAGAAATTGGGGAACACGTTTTGCTCTCGAAGCGTTCTCCAGACCAACATGGTGGTTTTGGAAGGTGTTCCTAAAGCGAGAAATTGGGGAACACATTTTGCTCTCGAAGCCTTCTCCAGATCAACATGGTGGTTTTGGAAGGTGTTCCTAAAGCGAGAAATTGGGGAACACATTTTGCTCTCGAAGCCTTCTCCAGATCAACATGGTGGTTTTGGAAGGTGTTCCTAAAGCGAGAAATTGGGGAACACATTTTGCTCTCGAAGCCTTCTCCAGATCAACATGGTGGTTTTGGAAGGTGTTCCTAAAGCGAGAAATTGGGGAACACATTTTGCTCTCGAAGCCTTCTCCAGATCAACATGGTGGTTTTGGAAGGTGTTCCTAAAGCGAGAAATTGGGGAACACATTTTGCTCTCGAAGCCTTCTCCAGATCAACATGGTGGTTTTGGAAGGTGTTCCTAAAGCGAGAAATTGGGGAACACATTTTGCTCTCGAAGCCTTCTCCAGATCAACATGGTGGTTTTGGAAGGTGTTCCTAAAGCGAGAAATTGGGGAACACATTTTGCTCTCGAAGCCTTCTCCAGATCAACATGGTGGTTTTGGAAGGTGTTCCTAAAGCGAGAAATTGGGGAACACATTTTGCTCTTGAAGCGTTCTCCAGACCAACATGGTGGTTTTGGAAGGTGTTCCCGAAGCGAGAAATGGGGGAACAAGTTTTGCTCTCGAAGCCTTCTCCAGACCAACATGGTGGTTTTGGAAGGTGTTCCTAAAGCGAGAAATTGGGGAACACATTTTGCTCTCGAAGCCTTCTCCAGATCAACATGGTGGTTTTGGAAGGTGTTCCTGAAGCGAGAAATGGGGGAACATGTTTTGGTCTCGAAGGATTCTCCAGACCAACATGGTGGTTTTGGAAGGTGTTCCCGAAGCGAGAAATGGGGGAACACGTTTTGCTTTCGAAGGCTTCTCCAAACCCACATTTTTGGAATGGAGAAATGGGGGAAACACATTTTCTTTTGAGCTCTGCTTCAAACCAACATGGTAATATTGAAGGGTTTCTGAAGCTGGAACTCATCTGGTTTTCACTGTTATTTGTTACCAGCTTGAGAGTTTGATTTGGGTTCCTAGAGTCACAAACGTGGAACACGCATCCCATTCAGCGTTACTTTTGCCAGCAGGATGGGATCAGAGTGTCTCAAATAAGAATTAACAGGATACTCTCTCCAGCCTTGGTCAGTTGCTGTCTGCGTTATGTTTTGAATGTGGTACATTCGTTAAATTGTTATTAACTGTATCCTGTCCTTATATTTCATGTCTGGAGAAAGGTCAGGGCTGATGTTGGCTGTGACTGAGCAGGGTTACCTAGCACCACTTTTTCTGCCCCTTAGTAATTTGAGCAATGAGACCTGGTGCAGTTCTCATAAATTAAGAAACCGGACTGCTCAATGTATTAAAAGGCTCTTGTTCAAGGCCTGCAGAATTTGGAAGCCCAAGATTTCATTTCTGGCCAGTGGTGTCTTAACTCACCCTGGAGAAGTACCCAAGGAACAAAAACGTCTGAATGGATTTGTGATTCACATTTCAGGTCCATCATTAACAACAAGAACAACAACAACAACAACAACAACAACAACAAAGAATAATAACCAGGAAGCCTTATTCATAATTTAAGATTTGTTGCCCATTGAGTGTAACTGATGGTTGATCTCCTGGCTTCCGTATGACCCTTCCTTTAAAAAGACCCCCAGCTTAGAATTCTAGGTGGTTCACCTTAGCTTTTGAATGTTTTAAGGTGGCTCCTTCACACCTGTGGACTTATTTCAAACGCTAAGTCATTGTTGCACGCCATAGGACTTTCAATAGGATTAAAGTCATTTCCTTAAACCTGTAAGCCACCCATTTGTGACTAAGCTTTCTGTGGGGTAGTAATGCCCATATTACAGGTACCCTGTTTCCCCGAAAATAAGACCTGGCCTGAAAATCAATGACCTAACCCAGCCACAGTGAAGGGAAACCCCGCCCTCCACCCTTGTGCAGCAACCAGAAGATGATAAATAAATATAGATTGTTGTACATGAAAAAAATAAAACATCCCCTGAAAATAAGCCCAAATGCGCTTTCTGGAGCAAAAATTAATATAAGACCCCGTCTTGTTTTCGGGGAAACATGGTAAATAGAGTGTCCATGTAAGGACCGTGAATTTATCTATGCATGGCTGTACCTTTGTTATTCTTTAAAATATACTGATAGTGCCTGGTAGGATAAGTGTAGCTAGTAATTAATTTCGAAGGAGCAATTGGAGTGTTACACCTGAGTCAGTCTGGCATTAAACTTCAGGGTGTCTCTTTTTTCTGATAGCACAAATTTAACATGGCTCCAGCAGAAGGCATCAGGGGCTGTCTCCTGACCTGCACCCACATGTTTTCAAGGAGAAACTTATAAGCTACTTTTGCCAACTCCTGAGTCAGCCTTATATATGTTGCAGGGCAGGGGGGGGATCCATAAGTCATTCCCAGGAAACTAATTCGGCACAGGTTGGCACCGCTATATTCTTTCGAGTGCCCACAGCCCTGCCAAATGCAGAGTGTCTTCTTAAAAGCCCCCGTGTGTGACCTCAGATGGACCTTACGTCCCTTTATCGTTGGGCTTCCTCTTTGGGAACTGGCTATCTCTCCTGCAGGCAAGGAGAAAGCCGCCACGGGCGGGGAGGGCTGTGCGTGCCTGTCAAGAGTTCTGGGCAGAATTCTTGGGAATCGAGGGCGCCATCTTGTCCGGCCACGAGCAAGGCAAGAAATTCCCGCGGTTGCTCTCGTTCCTGGAGGTGGCGTGTAGACAACCCAATCCTTGGCTGCTTTTTGTGACCCCTGCCCATTAAAAGGCAAAATGGATCCCCCTATGGCCGTCCTAGACTCCTGCTCAAATTGAAATGATCAAATATGCATAAAAAGTCTTGCTAACCTTCACGAGGAATCCCAGGGGAGCTTTTGTGTCACTTAAAGCACGGTGGGCTTTCAGACAGCGTGCCTAAAATTGAGTCATGTCCAAATTGACCACCTGAAGATCTTCAAACCTTACTGGACATGGGCTGCGAACTTGCCCCTCTTAGTATGGGTCCCTGGGGAGTCCTGCAAAGGGTATGGAGGGGAGGAGAGACTGTTAACAGGATTCCACGCACGCGTGCATGCATGTGCATGCGCGCGCGCACACACACTCAGAGCCAGCATAATTTGGTGGAAACCCACATTGCTCCTTTTTTATATAAAAAAAGCATAGATTGTCTATTGATCTGCAAAAAAAGCCATATATCTAGAAATAACAGCATTGCTACACAGAAGCTGAGGCAAACGGCAAATTAGGTGCTTTGCCTCGGCTTCTTCCTTGATAATTATATAGGTTTTAAGTGCAATTGTTATGAAATAGGTGAAGAGATTGTAGCTTGCTTGACTCTGCTGGACTTGGAAGCAAACGGAGGGGGAAACCGCCTCCTGCGCGGATCCTCAAAAATCAGGTCCCGGGGAGTGGCTGAAGCGCAACCTTGGATTCGGCACCGCCGTTGCTCTCGTGAGAGACGGGGATTGCAGGGAGCGTCCCAGCGAGGCTCTCCGCATGTGCTTGAGGGCGACAGCAATCGCGTGCAGTTTTGACCGTTCTGCCGTGCAACTGTGGCATGCGCACACACTTGCATGGAATTGCTTTGAGGACACTCCACTTTGCAACGCTCACCTCGGGGGCTCTTCAGACCTACCAGGCAATGTCCCGCTAGCCGCCAGAGCCAGTTTTTCTCCTCCGCTGTCTCCAGCGGTGGGCAGAAAGCAGCAGCCTGAGCCACCTGTTGAGTGTCTGTATGTCAACAGCGATGAGCCGGGTGAGGTTGCCCGTGTGGAGGGGCTCAAAGCAGCTCTTTCCATGGCAGCCATAGAATGTGCCTCAGGGTGGCACCTACAGGACTCCATAGATTTCTATCCAGGAAGCACAAGGAACATCAACGGGGTCCTTGCTCGGAGGACCAGATGCATTCCTCTGTAGCGTCTGCCCCTTGGGCAGACAGCTATCCTGTTGCGGCCCACAAGCTGGTGTGGGGTATGCCTTCTGCGCGCATGTCGTTCCCTTCCTCTGGGGTCTTTTCATACCACACCCAACGGAGGTGTTCAGGGAGATGGCCCATAAGCGTGCCTCCAGGTTGCATAACTATTGACAGCTAATTCCCCAGTCAGGTGAACCTGTGATGGGTTCATTCTGCACTAAATTTGTAATTAGGCAAATGCACTGTGAGAACCGAGCAGGAACAGGGGACCCTTTCTGCCCCCACCCCACCCCAGTTTGGTTGCACGGATGCGCCAGAGTTCTAGCACAAAAGCATGGTAGAGAGAATTATATGCTGTACTGCATGCTAAGTGAGAACAGTAACCATGTTATACTACGAAGGCCTTTCACCACCTTGGTACCACTTTGATATTATGACGTGGACGCATTTTTTTTGGGATTACCTCAACTTTGCTAACATTGAACTATTGTGATTTTTTTTTTCCGAAGGGGGGTGGGAGGGAAGAGGGAGAAAACAGCCAAAACGCGGAAGCTGTGACAGCAGGATCCAGTTCAAAGCATGTCAGTGCCTTGCTGGTGGCGCCATCGAAACGCCGCGCAAATTGTACGAGCGGATGATGACGCCATGGTTCCTATTGCGTGCCCCTTCTTTTGAAGGAAAGGAGGACCATTTTGGTGAAAGGACCTTTTGATCTCTTAGCAAAGAATATTTAGCACACATGGTTAAGTTCGGTTCTTTGTGTCTTTTTTAAACGGATAATAATAATAAACTCTTTGAGGACTTTTTAAAACAATGGAGAAATACTTGATCCTGTCGGCGTGACGGCAATTGCTGATCTCGTTTAGGAATTGCGTCAGTGATTCGGCAGCATTTTTATAAGGGGTGTGGGAGGGGCTTGCTTTTTTTTTTTTACAAAAGGGGGAAATTTGCATTGCAAATAAATCTCTAGTTTTGACTTTTTTAAGCTACTGTAAAGCAGGAAACAAAAAAAAAACAAGCACCGTTTCTAGCTGCAAACGTTCCTAATCAGAAGTGCCATTAGACGGTTCTTTACACCGCTGCTGTTGGGTCCGAAACGGCAACGGCGGAAAGAGTTTAAAAAGCCTTCCTCGTCTTGTCGCGGAAGGGCACAAACGAGTCCTCCAGGGGTTTCTGTGCTTGCTGACCTTCATTAGCAGCTTGTGTGGTTTCGCATCACCTGAGAATGAGTGTGGTCAGAAGACACTGAAGTTATACGGCGGGGTGGGTGGGTGGGTGGGCGGGAAGAGGGGGCAGATTTGGGATCGGGAACACTGGGCAAGCCCAAACCTGTGCTGTTAGGGTAAAAAATGTTACGATGGGTTGGTCACTCTACGAGGCAGGCCCGTCGCCACTTACACCGACGACAGCTCTCGGACTGCTGAAATGGATGCACAGAAGTCACCAAAGTAGACACTGTGCCAGCCCCTTGTTTTAGGGTAGGGAGTGGACATCGATGATAATCTGTTTCCACCATCGTTTAAGGATAACAGGCGTGGTGTGTTCTTGAACAGTCCCCTTTGTTTCCAGTGGGACTTGTGAAAGAAGACCTCGCTCTGGACTGTGCTTTTTTGTTCTCTGTGTATGCCGAAAAGTTTGCAGGATCCCTACCGAGTGCCCAGTTAGCAGCACAGATCAGGTTGCAGATGCTTAAGTATTCCCAGTTTCTTCTTCTGCGTTTCTTCTTTTTCTTTCTGAATTTTTGCACAGCGAATAAGCTCTGGAATACCATTGCGTGTTCTCAAAAGGGAAAAATCGTAACTAGCATGGGGGGGGGAAGAAAATACGTAAACTGTGAGTTGTTAGAACTGCGTTGCTAAATCTAATTTTAGATGGTTAAAACTGTACCTCAGAAAACTAGTAAGAAACTGCTTTGTCCTTTAGCCAGTTGTGAAAAAAAAGGCTTTTTTTAACCAGGTGCCAAAATTAATTTTTCCTACTAGTTTTCAACTGGTTTTATTTTTGCAACGTTCAGTAAAATGTTATTTTTACAAACTCTACTGTAACTTCAGTTAAACTGAAATGTGTGATTGAAGCTTTTTTGCTTATTTGTATTTATTACACTACTTGATTCAGTAAATATATAAAAGTACCTTTCCCTTTATTTTTGTATTATTTTACACATTTATACCTGCTGTTTGTGATTATTGTTTTTTACACTTGTAACTCCGATGCGATTCTAAAAACCAATAAATTATATCCATCTGTTTTTTCTGTGTGCCTGTCTGGGTGAATACAGATTCGTTCACTCTAGTCATCTGGTGCCCATTAGCTCTGAAACAAAGCAGAGCAGCAAAAGGATATTTCTACCTTTTTGTGCGCCTGATTCTGAATTGATTTATTAGCTTGCATTCCTGTACTACCCAATGGCCAGCGTTTCAATAAAGGTTAGAATCCAATGGTCCAAATTGAATGGGTTGTTCCAGCTGTTGGAAACGCCTTTGAATCAGTGAGATTCGCATAAGAATCTGCAGCTGATTCAATGAGTCTCCTGAACTGATCAGATTTAGAGCATTATGAATGAAATCTAATACACTATAATGCAGATGAAAAACTGAATTGAAACAAGCATAAAATAAAATGAGCTTTAAAACAAACACAGGGGATCTCAGAACGTGTGTTGGGCCGAATTCTGTTCATGGTACTGCATAACTCCGTTGGCATAAATCTGAACAGCAGAGTGTCACAGCAGCACTTGTGTGTTGAGACACATATGCTCAGCGGCGAAAGTCTTGTTGCTTAACGTAGGAAGTTGCACACATGAGACCATTACAGGAGCTAGACTCCACTTTTAACCGCCGTGGCTCCATATCCAGTGCAATCCCAGGACTTGTTTTTCGGTGGATCGCTTCGGCGTCTCTCTTGGCAGTTCGGTCCGGATATGTTGGGCTACAACTCCCTGAATCCCAAGCCTGCATGGCCAATGATAAAACGGCGGTGGGAATTGTAACCCCAAACGTCTCGAGTGCCAAAGGTCCACCCGCCACCCCCTCCAAGCTCCATTTGGCAGAGGAAAAGCAACTTTTTTAAGCTGTGTCCTCACCGAAGAAGGGAAGAGGCGGCTTGCTTGGGTCGCCAGCCAAGCTCTCGTAGACAGCTCTGTCTTATCTCCTAGGCAGGAGTGCGGAGTTGCCAGGGCCGATTTGGAAAACCAGCTCCTGCAAAGGTTGCTAAGTTGCAGGAGGAGATAAAGAGGTGGTAATAAAGCCCATCATCAGGATAGAGTAGGAGCTTGTTTAGACATCATCCCCCACCCCATCACAAGTTGGAGAGCTGGCAACACTGCCCATGGTCTATTACCCTGCTGGCTGCCTCAACAGATTTTTCTTCTTTGAAGCAGGAGTGATCTATAGAATGGTTTATGCATTTTAAATATTTTTAACCCATATTTCTTCTTAAAAAAGGACCCAAGGCAGCTTACAAACATTAAAAGAGAGCATTTAAATGAGTAACAATAAGTATATACAGTTGGGAATTGTGCAGCCAGGCATATAAATTACTGACCTATCCAATCACCATTCCTTTCTTCAAGGGGGGGTTGCCCTGGGACTAGTATGCAGCAGGCCCAAGTCCACCCAGGCTGGCTCTATGTGCAGGAAGCACAGTGGAGAATCGAACACCCAACTTTTGCAGCCAGGCGCCTGACTTGCTGAACGCTCCCCCTGAAAATTGTGGCCTAGTTCCAATGGGTCATCCCCTACACTCGTGTAAACCTGTTGAATGGATGAGATTCATGTAAAGCATTGACTCACACTTCAGAGACGGATTCAGTGGCTGCACTTCTGCAGGATCTACCTGTGGGATTTTGGCCTTCTGTCCATTGGGTGCAGGATTGGACCTGCCGCTAAGTTGGTCTCTTGTCCCTTCTAAAAAGAGAGCGTAAGAGAAATTGCACAGGTGTAGACCCCTCCCGCACCAGGGGACAACTCCGGTAAAGCGTGACGATCTTGGCCATCGGGTGCAATCCTGACCTCTCGTGTGCGCACACTGAGTTGTATGCACATCAGCCCGTACAGACCTTCAGAGGGGATTATGTGCCTCCTTCGTACACAGGTAAGCCCCATCCAGCAGTTTTTGAGAGGCAGGCGGGACATGAGGACAACCACCTCTGCATCATTGTTCTATGTCAGCCAAGAGGAGTAGCCAGAGATGTGGATCTCCTTCTGTTTTGTTACCCTTTCCCTCTAGGAGAACATAAATGTGTTGAGAATTTTGATTATAACGTGTATTCTCATAACATCAGCAGAGTAAGGAGATATTGGTTAGCAGAGATACTTATGACACTATGACACTGAGAGAGTAAAACCAACAACTTAGTCTATTGACATAGATAGATAGAGAATAGACATTCCTCTGGCAACATGACATGACATGAAGCAACACACAGCATTGGAAAAACTGATCTGACTTACAGCAAAGAAAGACGTTCATTTTACACATGATTTATGTACAGTTCTGGGACCAATCGGAAAAGACTTCATGTTTCTGTTACTCCAAGTTTCATCCTGTACGACATTAGTATTTAATACCTTTTCCTATCAAAATCTCGACATAATGCGCCCTACCGGGTTGCATGGGATTCTTAGGAGGGTCTGGGGGATGGTGTGGCTTGGTTTTCAGATCCAAGAATATCTGAATGCAATTCTTCTATTCCAGGGAAAGTTTTGCCATGCTGCTCAATCCCGTTTCGAAAAAAGCAAGCCTGGCTGGGGAGGATAAAGATCCATTGCAGGGCACGACTTCATTTTTGCTGGAGATATATTTGCTTATAGGCACGCATTGATGTTTTAAGCTTTTCAATCACTCAAAGAGCCATACATGTAACTGGGAGAGAAGGCGCTCATACATGCTTTTATTTTAGGTTTGTCTCTAAAGTCCACCAGATCTGCATTGGTCTTGGGCTTGTTCAGATTTTCCCCAGCTGTGCAGCATCTGTCTCTCCATCAGGGGACAGGGACCTTTGGATCACGAGCCTCATCCAGACCACAGAAATCTCCTGGCAGGCCTTTACCATTTCCTGATTTCTTCTTCATCTCAACACCTGCTCTCTGAAGTGGTGGCTACTAGAAGTGACTCCAGTTCCAGAGGTGCTCTCAATCCACTGCAGGTTTTAGTTCGCACTTTCCAGGCATTCTCCAGGCATCCGAGCCCTATCCCCCTCCCCCTCGGCTACTTGCTGTAAAGTGATGGCGAAGACCTGGAGTGGATTTACACCACACACCCCCTCAAGTTGGAGTCACCCGTCATCACTGCCCTGGAGGCTAATGTGAAAGGAAACTCAACTAACTTTGATCTCTGATTGGAGACCACAAGTTTTCCCTTTCCAATATCCTTCCCCTTCCCATGTATGGATCGAAGGGAAGAAAAGCACCAATGGCAACACCATCAGCCCCTTTTGTAACCAAAAGCAAACTCTGCTTCACACATTCCCACAAAGGGAAGGAGGAGGAGCAAGAACAGGTCTGGGCTAACATACCAGCTAGAAATGTTCCAACCTCCCTTTGATAATGGGCCTAAGGATGCTGGGTTGGGTGGACTCACCACCGAGTTCAACTGGCCAGTGGCTACCTGCAAAGTGGGGATTCTGGCTGTTGGCTCTACTCTGGTTTCTTACTACCTGCTTTCGGAACTGGTTCTGAAGCAAAACACCGCCCCGAACACACTTAACCTCATCTGAATTGGAAGCTAAGCAAGGCGGAGACCACCAAGGAATTCCAAGGAATTCCAGGTAGCATCAGGAAGGAATCCGGTCTGAAATCCTGTACAGTCAACCGGTCCTCAGGGTGGAGTATCCTGAGCTAGAGGAACAAATGATCTGACTAAGCAGAAGGCAACTCTTCCTCTTTCCTTTCTCTGGCTTGACTCTTGGAAGATCCAAAGAGTCCAAGATTAAGATATGGTTCAGTTACCATCCTGCCCACAGTTCCAGTCTCCAGTCCAGTCCATCAAGAAAGCTAGAAGTGACGCAGGAAGGGTTGTTTCCCTTGAAGCCCTCACAGAGGGTTTTATCCTGAAGAGTCATCCATGGTCGATGAGCTGCCTTCAACATCAAAGGAAAGGAGGACATCCATACTCGGGGACTCGCGTGAGAACTTGGCTGCCACCTTGAGCGTTGACCCAGCAAGGCCGCTGTATACATCCCCCTCCCATACTTTGTTCTGCCCGAGCTTCAGCTCCATCCTTGAATGTCCAACAACGTGGACACTGTAGGCCTTGGGCATCTTGACCCGGAATCTCACCCAGATTTTCTCTTGTAGGACTCCTGTTCTAGGCTGGAGAAGGACACAGCCTCTTCTCCAAGAGCTGTAGATCTTGGGGAAGGGTAGCCACCGGGGGTTCGTAAAGCAGCGGATCACATAATCACATACATGGGTGAATTCCTCACTTTCAGCATTCCTTCCATACAACCCGACCCGGTAAAGTCCGGATTCAGGGAGAAGGACAGAAATGCTAACTTTGTTCTCCAAGTGGGTGATCAATACGTATCGCTCCATGGGGTATTGTTTGTTCATTATTTTGTCCTTGTCCAGAGTGGCAGTGACCTCAAAGCCCGGCTTGGTGTGGAAAGTGATGGTGCACTGGCCCTTTTTTGTAGAGATGATGGGGTCGGTGTGACTTGGGTTGGACAGCCCTCTCCATTGGGAGCTGATCCCAGACCCGCAGTGTGCGCTCAGACCCAGTGGGAAGAGTTTGTTGTGGTTGATGGGCTCAGAGCAACGTATAAGGAAGTTGGCCGTGTTCTTGAACTCATCCTCACTTAGACCCTTGGTGAACACTGAGAGCCTGTAATAGCCCAAGAAAGGGCAGAGAACATGGCAGCTGAGTTTCTCATCTTCTGCTTGGGAAACAAGACACTTCCTACTCAAAGATTCATCTAAGTCTTGATGAACGAACTCATACGTTGCCAAGAGAGGTCTCTGGGTCTGCAAAGCTAACTTCAGCATCCCCGTGGTGGCAAGGGTCAAATCGTCTTCCCAGTTGCACCTGGTGATCCCAAACTCCTTTGCTCTTGGATGTAGCCCCCAGAAGGAGAAAGGGCTCTTGGGTAATTCCTCGTTGCCATTGGACTCCAAGCACTCAATCTGATACGAGCACACCCAAGAGTATGGCTTCTGAGAACCGGAAGGTCGAGCGAAAACCTGCAGGTCGAAGAGTCCCTCTGTAGGTGGGAAGACTCTTAGGCTCATCCTTTTCTCGGCCATGGTCAGCATGCCATGAGTCTTGCCCGCGTCTTCTTGGCAGCCGTCGGGGCAAACCTTCAAGAGCTGGTAAGCAAACTCTGTTGAGCGGGGACTGGCGAAAGAAACGGTGGCTTCCCCTTTTTCTGAAAAAGGGGAAAGGAAGAAAAGGGGACAGGCGTTGATCATCGCGTGACACCGTTAGTACAATGAATGGTCAAGCTTTTGACAGGAGGACCAACGCTGCACAACTTTGTCCCTGGGGAAAGCCTTCCTCTGTTTAGGATGCCAGTAAAAGGAAACCAGGCAGAATGATGTCGCCAATTTAGGTGGCCAGGCACTGGGAATTCTGCCACCACCCTGGACCCATGGGACTCCCTCTAACTTGCCATGGTCTGCCATGCTCACTTGCTCATTCATCCTCTCTCCCTTGGCACCTTGCCTAAATGGCTACCACCATGTGTAGGCTTCCCCACCCAGTCACTGTAAAGATGTGCCAGTTGCCCAAAGCGGCTGGAACATTCTTTGCACCAAGCTGGCCGGCTAGGCTGGCACCTCCTGTTTAAACCAGAGTTGGCCAGGTACCCAGTTTCTGCATGTTCCTGGGTCCTCAAACATGTCTCCTGGGCGGAAAACCTCTTTTTAATTATAAAAGGTGGCTTTTCTTTTCCTGGAATCCTCCAGGTGAGGTATATACTGTATTTTTCCATGTATAAGACTATACTTTTGTCTGAAATCTTTAGACTAAAAATTGAGGATCATCTTATACACAGAAGTAAGCTGAGGAGAGAACAAAAACAAGTGGAGAGGAAAGCAGGATCAAAGTGATCCTGCAGTGCTTTGATCCCTGCTTTCCCCTCTACTTGCTAAGCCCCACTTAAAGGTAAAGGTTCCCCTTGACATTTTTAGTCCAGTCGTGTCCGACTCTAGGGGGCGGCGCTCATCCCGCTTTTCAAGCCATAGAGCCAGCGCCTGTCCGAAGACAGTTTCCGTTATCACGGGGCCAGCGTGACTAAGAAACGCCATTTTACCTTCCCACCGAGATGGTACCTATTTATCTACTTGCATTTACATGCTTTCGAACTGCTAGGTTGGCGAGGAGCTGGGACAAAGCGACGGGAGCTCACTCCGTTGCGGGGATTTGATCTTACGACTGCTGGTCTTCTGACCCTGCAGCACAGGTTTCTGCGGTTTAGCCCACAGCCCCACTTAGATTTCTTAATTTTGGGTTAGGAAAGTGGGGGTGCCTTATACATGGGGGTTTTTTATACACTGAAAAATACAGTATTTTTTATTTTTTTTTGCTTGGGAGGGGACACACAGTCCTAGACATCCCCTCAAAAACTCTTCCAAGTCAACACTGGAATTGGGAGTCTGATCCCTTTCCATATTGACCCAGTGTACTCACATTTGAAAGCCTCCTGGGCCTGGTGTGACCCACAAGTCTTCTCTACAGCCCCACCCAAGACTCTCACTCCTGTCTGAAATGGAAAGGAGTTGCAGGAGACAGGATGGGGCCTGTGTGGTGGAGGACAGGGACGAAGAGGAAGAGGAGGGGAGGAGTGGAAATAGTGGAAGGAACATCTCTTTTCTTCAGGCAGCGGGAGAGGTTGGGCTATGATTAGGGGAAGGCAAGGCAGGAGTCTGGAAGACTGAAAATATCAGGGGACGCTGCCTGTTTCTGTCCTGCTTTGAATAAACCTTTGCAGGTTTATAGCAGTGGTTCTTAACCTTTGTTACTCGGATGCTTTTGAACATCAGGGGACGCTGCCTGTTTCTGTCCTGCATTGAATATTTTGGTTTGTTCATAGTTTTGATGCACATTTGGACGATGCAAACTATGAAGGTTTATAGCTTTGCAACCCTGGCACATTCATGCAGTACCTTTTTCCAGTTCAGGAGCCCGGAGGGAGGAAACTCTTACATTCACCTGTGTTTGTTTATTGGCTTTGTTTATCTATCATTTAAAATATTTTTTAACCCTTCCTTTCTCCTTAAAAGGACCCCAAGCGGCTGGAGAGCAACCGAGTCCAGCTAGGCAGGTCCAGGTTCCAGGGAGCAGCTAACGAAACTTCAGCACCCTGGAGAGCGTACATTAAGAGCCAGGGACGGAAGCACCCCCTCTGGAGAAGAATCTTGTCTCAGCCGGGGGGTGGGGGTGGCGAACGGGGACGGGACTGCAGGCAACTGAGGCCTTAACATGGCTGGTTGGCCAGTGTCTCTCAGAAGCACCTCCTTGTGTGGCCCCGTAGCCCACAAAGTAGAGTTGGAGAATCCATGACTCTCCAGATCCAGTTTTCCATCAGCCACAACCACCTTGCCCAAAGTTGAGGAGTGGCAGAAACAGGAATTTGGTAGCATCTGGAGACTTACCAGTTCCCCTCCACTCCGCCTTAAAGGTCTCTCTAGATATCTTACTGGCCTTGTGCTCCAGCATGTGTGAGGGACAGAAGGAGTGTTCCTAGGTCTGAAGTCAAAGGAGGGCTGTCTCTGAGGGACGGAGCAGTTCTTGGAAGTGGGCCCTGAGGGTCATGAGACTCTGAGGGTGCTGCCGAACCTAAAGACGTAACCTCTGGTCAACGTCCACATGTTGGACCAGCTTTTTGCAATCGCACGGATGGGATACTCCACGCACCAGACTCTTGGGTGCCTCTGAGAGGCTGCAGGTGTGGCCCCAAAAAGCTTATTTTTAAATAATACACGTCATGTCGATCAGTGGGAGCCGATTGCTCGAGGCACCAGAATGATCCGGAGATGTCCTTCCCTGGACTTACCTGTCTGAAGCCGAGACATGTCTGGAGAGAGGAGGCGGAGCTCCATTTTGAAAAACTCTGGCGTTTTGAAGACTCTCTTTTCGAAGACCTCCCGGGCGATGGAGGGCTGAAGCAGCTGCCACACCGGGTCATCGGGCCAGTGGCTCTCGACAAAGTCCTCTGGATCGGTTAGGAAGAAAAAATCGTCATGCCTGCGAGGGAAGGCGGCAGCGAGGAAAAGGAACAGGTCACAGAAAAGGTTCTCAAGTCACACAAAGCCATGGCATTCCAGCCTCCTAAACAGGAGCGCAGGCTGGCGGGTTGCTTGCTTGTTTGCTTGCTTGGCAGGAGCGCAGGCTGGCGGGTTGCTTGCTTGCTTGGTTGGCTTAACATTTCACCCCATTTGTGCAATGCACTATTCTGGCGGGTTTGCAACAATAAATAAAACAGATCATGTACTAATGAGCTACCAATAAACCATAAAATGAAAGCATTTAACCAAATAAGATTTAGTTATTTCTAGGAGGAAGACATTTCAAAGGCTCCAGGGGCCATTTTTGCCTTTCCTCAGACCTTGCTTCCAAAATGCAAATCTGTCCCGCCCTCAAGACTGTGTGTCCTTTATGATTTCTTGAGTTGGTCCCTTGTTGTTTTTTAAGAGGGGTTCTGAAGTCCCTGAAATGAACCAAACAGTAATTACAAGGCGTCAGAGTTTTCTGAGGTGCACGAGTTGAATTTTGGAGGGCAAAATATTTTTTGAGGTGTTTATGGATTCCATAACCATAGATCTTAAACTGCATTTTAAGCCAGCCTGTTCAAGATCCTTTTTCAAGTCCTTTGCATTGAAGACGGGAATTTTTGAGGTGTTTATGGATTCCATAACCATACATCTTAAACTGCATTTTAAGCCAGCCTGTTCAAGATCATGTTTTTCAAGTCCTTTGCATTGAAGACGGGAACAAAGCCATCTCTCTCTCTCTCTCTCTCTCTCTCACACACACACACACACACACACACACACACACACACACAGACACACAAACGGAGTAAATCTGTTGCATGTAATATGGTTAGATATTACAAATGCCACACTGATTGCATTATACTGAGCTGGCCAGGAAGTGACAACTCCATAATGAGTCTAATGAGAAATAATTGAACATATTTATCAATTTTTTGAATCAAACCATTATTTACCTTGGGTCTGAAAAAACACAAGCTGAAAGAGGTTCAAGTAATTATGCCTGGAGTCGCCTAATAAACCCACCAAGGAGTGAGAGATTTATCATGTTATGATATCACAGATACCTATCTCACTGCAGCTGGGAAAACATAGTGTGTAGGGCAGGGGGTTGTGTCAGTGTTACTGAACACTCTTAGCAAGTTCAGAAGAGTTGCTTCCTGGATTACAACAGACAAGCAAACTCAGGAGGGAGTTTGGTTCGGGCTGAGGTTCCCCAAGTCCTTTGGAGTCATAAACTCAGTTTGGTTAGCTATTTCGTATTCAAAGAATGCCAGGAGGCGGGAATGTAAAAGGGCTGTGGGTCTTCTGTCTTAGAAACGGGCAGTCAGTCATAGAAGGCCACATTTCTGGGTACAGAGACAGGCCACTTTCTGGATCTCCTGTCCCGAAAAACAACAGGAGGCAAGGCTATAGCTGCACACACCAGTGATGTCTGGTTGGCTATGGCTGGAAAGAAGACTAGTTCTCCTCTAGTCAGCACTGGTTAATCCTCCTCTAGTGTCCTGTAGAGTCCACTCAACCCTGAGTGCTCACTGGAAGGACAGATCCTGAAGTTGAGGCTCCAGTGCTTTGGCCACCTCATGAGAAGAGGAGACTCCCTGGAAAAGACCCTGATGTTGGGAAAGTGTGAGGGCAAGAGGAGAAGGGGATGACAGACGACGAGATGGTTGGACAGTGTCATCGAAGCGACCAACATGAATTTGTCCCAACTCTGGGAGGCAGTGGAAGATAGGAGGGCCTGGGGTGCTCTGGTCCATTGGGTCACAGAGAGTTGGGCACGACTAAACGACTAAACAACAAAAGAGTCCTGTGTCCAGTTCTGGACCCCGACCTTGAAGAAGGATGCCAACGAACTAGAGGAAGTTCTGAGGAGGGCAACCAGGATGGTCAGGGGGCTGGAAACGAAGCCCTCTGAGGAAGGACTGGACAAAAAAAATGGGCCTTGAGTAAAGAAGATGGAGGGTAGGCAGGACAGCACTTTTCAAAGATTTTGAGTAAAGAAGATGGAGGGTAGGCAGGATAGCACATTTCAAAGATGTGAAAGTCATACAGAGGAAGGGCAGGACTAGCTCTTGATCACCCCTGAGTGCAGGACACATAATAATGGGCTCAACGGAGCGAGATTTAGGCTGCATATCAGGAAAAAAAACCCGGAGCGGTTTCACAATGGAAGCGCTGGAGGCCTTCAAAAGACACTAGCTCTTGATCACCCCTGAGTGCAGGAGACATCATAATGGGCTCAAGCTACCAGAGTGAGATTTAGGCTGCATATCAGGATAAAACCCGGAGCGGTTTCACAATGGAAGTGCTGGAGGCCTTCAAAAGAGCATTGGACAACCATCCATCAGAAGCTGCTGGAAAGCTCAGTGGCTTAGGCCTCTGTCTGTGGAGCAAGAGGTTTGGAGTTCGATTCCCCCACTGTGGCTTCTTGATTGGGTCTGGACTCCATGATCCATGGGGTCCTTTCAGCTCTTCCGTTTAAAGATTATTGTAATTATCTTCTTTGACTTAGATTCCTGCCTTGAGACTCATTGGCTTTATTGGCCCCTTCCAAGTCTATGAGATGCTGGATTAGGATGAACCTTTGGTCTGACCTAATCCAGAGGAGCACTTCTATGCTCCTCTGTACCTGCAGTGTAGAACAGAGCCAGAGGGACGGAGAGAGGGAGTTCTCTTACCTAGGGGTGAACAGTCTCTTCTCGACATCCACAAGACCAGCCCCCCAGCAAACATCCAGAAGAAACCACTGGCCTTCCAGTTCCACCGCATTCCACATGTGGTTGGACTTCTGCTGCAGGCAGCTTCGGCCGTGGCTGTATTCAGCACCCCGGCCCTGCCCCGAAACCTCCACGCAGGTCAGCCCTGCTTCCCTGTAAAGGCAGGTATAAACCAAAACAGCTGATCCAGGAGCAATCCCCTCTGGGGTTATACTGCTTCTCTGAGCAAGCCTGAGTTCACCTGCCCGGCAGCTACAATCAGAAAATAAAGCAAGCTCATTCACAGGGCGTAGAGGCAAGAGGCAACCGTCCCTTCGCCGACTGTCACTTCTCAAGGCGGGGACTTACTGACTCAGGGTGTTAGACCCAACCGATCTTTATCAAGGCAGGTTTTAAGCAGGCATGGATAGATACCTGGATATTTTCGTAGTAAGTTTATGCAGCAAACGGTTGTTGTGGGTTTTTTGGGCTCTTTGGCCGTGTTCTGAACGTTGTTCTTCCTAACATTTCACCAGTCTCTGTGGCTGGCATCTTCAGAGGACTGGAGTAACACTCTGTGCTCTGGTGCAGTTTGCTGGGAGTGGAGTATTTATAGCTGTGCGATCCGCTTTTGTCCTTTTCAGGAGATTGGGTGACAAACTGCACCGTCCAAACAAAGTGGACCAGAACACAGACAAGTTCTGACTCCTGTTCCTCTGAAGATGCCGGCCACAGAGACTGGCGAAACGTTAGGAAGGACCACCTTCAGAACATGGCCAAAGAGCCCGAAAAACCCACAACAACCATTAGATCCCGGCCGTGAAAGCCTTCGCGAATACATTTATGCAGCAAACCTTAAGGAGGGGAAGGGTTTAATACATCAAAAAAACATACCTGCACATTTCACGACATAGGTGGGCATATCCAGAGCACACACCCCTTCCCGTCTGGAGGACCTGTTGAGGGGTGTGGATCTTCTCCGATAACCCCAGGAATCCATCCACGTCATATTCTACAGGAGAGACAAAAAACAGACTGTTGCTGATTTAGCTGTAATAGAAGCCAAAGGAGACAGACTGGGGTCTTTCTTCATCCATGAGTTCCCTACTTTGATTCCATGGACCCGTGGACCTTCCCTGGCTGCCCAGAAGAACACAGGCATCCATCTTGAGGGCATCTCTCGCTGGCCGCGAGAAACAGACTACCTTGTTAAAGGCTGCCAGCACCCCCTCCTTCTCATCCGCTTCCTCCAGGGTGGGTGAATCTATCATCTCCACACTGGGATCTACTGGGTTACATGATCCAGCCACACCCAATCAAAAGCCAAGATGGAGCAGCTTTTCCTCAGAGGAGGTGCTCTGCTGCATCCCTGGGTAGTCCATTCTCTGGCAGGCTTTCTGATGTAAAAGCAGCTGCAAAAAATGGGTAATGCAGAGAAATACTGAGTTTCACTCAGAGATTAGGAACTTTTTCCTATATGTCTATGGAACTCTCCAGAATCCCTTAGCCTGTTGGTGCTCCTTGAGGATTTGGGGAGCTGTGGGACAGGGTTTGG